TTGAGAATCAATTTGATTTAATAGATCAAGAATTTGGCTTTGATATAAACATTGATATTTAAGAATTGCTATTATACGTTGATTATAAATTTCATATTTCGAAAATTGTATTGTTTGTAAATTATTTGTAAGAAGTTTTCCTGTTTGTTGATCGATCAGATTTTGTTGAGCAAGTTGATTGTAGATTTCATTCGATTCCATTCGATTTAAACCTTTGATTTGCATGAAATCATTTGGTGAAATTTATTGAAATTTTTCTATTGATACTCGTCGAAGTTGATCAATATTAATTTTTGCAATTTTACCTAATAGAATAAAATTTTATTCTTCTAATATTTAATATTGTTTATCGAGAGGTCTTTTTAAATATTGAACATTTTCTGTACTAAATTTCATATTATGGAAAAATAGAATTGATTGATTGTTTGATAACAATTGCTCAATGGATTGAAATTGATTTTGATTTAAACGAATAAAATTCTTGGAATTTATCATTTGTTTCTTCATTGATTTGATTTCGATTAACAATAATCACATCTCTGACATCTCGAATGATTTGTTTTTCAATCATTAATTGCCAAAACTGATCACGATTTGGCATTTGAACATGATCAAGGTATTTTTTCAAATTCATTTCATTGACATATTTGATTTGTGATAGATATCCTTGAAATCCATCGTAATTTAATTGATAATCCATACAAATCTTTTTCAATTGATTTTCATTAAAATTTCTATTGAATTATTTTCGAATGAAAATCTTTTCATAGGAAATAAGCATTTGTTTATAAATTGACACAGCTAATTCTTCATCGATATCAATATTTACAAATGTATTCGATGTTATTGAATGACCACGCATATCATGAATCGAACGAATAAAACACGAATATAAATAACAAAGATTTTCATTTTGTTTTCGATAAGAATCAATTTTAAGAAATGATTGATTTAATAAATTAAGATTAGTTAAAATTGAATTACGTGCTATTAACATATCAATATGATAGTTGAATAGATATTCAGCATGATCTAATAAACGATGAACTTCAATTTTCTCTTCAGTTTTTACTAATTGGGTCTATTTAATAAGATAATATGCTTTGTAATAATAAGCTGCATGACTAAACATTGATTCATTATTAATAACTGTTTGTAAAAGTTGACATGCTTTGTCATAACTTTTATCTTTAATAAAACATTTACTTTATCGGCCTAGGGAACCTCTCGAGGTGATTAAAAGCTTTTCGACTCAGCAAAGGACATAGTACAACGCTCAGAACTTTTAAGGAAAATAGAAAAGTTTAGGTTCCCTATGGACCAACATGCATAAAAGTCTGTTGGTAGATTTCTATAGTTCCGCTTTGATGCAAATCGAGAATAATCTCGGTCAAGGCACCAAATATGACAGGTCTCCGATTACGACACCACAGCAGGATTCTTCGCATTTAATTCATTAATAAGACAAAAACACAACAATATCATAACATAACCGTTTCTGGCTGCATATATGTATATATATATATGTGACAATCACACCGGCAGGAATCTCAAGATATGTTATGACATGCCAGAATAAAACATCGTGAAAACCGTACAATAGCAATGGTATGAGGAAGAAAGACTGTAAGACCAAGAGAAAGATAGCAGGAAGACTACGCATCTTACATGTAAAACGCTCAGCCTGTGACGGCACTATCCACGGCTCCCACGCTACTATATGTTGTTGCTAATCAAGCCTGATTCGGCGAAAGTGAGATTAATCGTATTCGAAGAGCTTTTACATAGTATTCCAAACTTTATGATAATCACCTTTTTGAGCATACACTCCTTCCAAGTTATTATATGTTCCTGCAATTGAAGGTTGATTTGGTGGAAGTGAAATCAAGAAGATTTGACGAGCGTTTTCATAATATTCTAATGCTTTATCATAAGCAACTTGTGCATGATACACGAGTCCCATGTTATTATATGTTGTTGCAAGATGAGGGTGATTTGGTGGAAGTGTAACCAATCGCATTTAAAGAGCTTTTTCAAAATATTCTAATGCTTTATCACAAGCAACTTGTGCACAATACACTCCTCCCACGTTATTATATGTTGTTGTAATACTTGGATCATTCGTTGATGTATCGTTAATTAGCATCAGTAGAAACTTTTCTGCTTTCGCGTTTCCCATTCTCATCAGCAGAGTACCTAATGTGTTCAGATCAGTCTGCTCTCCAATCTCACTCAGTATATGATCACTTAACATTTTCCGGTCTTCGTCTTCGTCGCCATCCAATATCAGCTTCACTATCCATATCTCCTCTTCGCTCATCTTCCCTATTGAGTCAATGCGGAACACAGTTCCCATCGAAAAGAGAATCTCTTCTTCTTTTCCTGCAAGTGCACTCAGCTCTTCAATGCTTTAATAGGGTTGCTTACTTTTTTCGGTGTCGATCTCCATCTCAAACGAAATCGACCGAGTGTTGGGACGGCCTTGTGATTGTCGAGTGTATGGAAGAGCGACATCTTTGTTGTTACTCGTTGACAAAAAACTATCCATTGAGAGAAGTCGTCCCTTATTCTGCTGTAGTTTCGTGGAGTCCTCATCCAACATCCCTTGTCCACGATAAACAGTCATTGTTCGTGTGTCTGGTTTCATCTGAAACTGTCTAATGAGGGAAACTTTCGAGGTGATTAAAAGCTTTTTGATCGACATCTAGTGGATTACAGGTTATCGACCATGCTGATTCCGGTCTTCGTCTTCATCGCCATCCAATATCAGCTTCACTATCCATATCTCCTCTCATCTTCTCTATTGAGTCAATGCGGAACACAGTTCCCATCGAAAAGAGAATCTCCCAAGCCTTTTTTAATAATGCAGTATTGTAGCGCACAAATTTCTGATTAAAATGATACATCCCCCAGCTCTACATGACCTTTCTTTCCAAAGTTATAGAATTTATAAGAACAGCCTTAAATTGTTCATTGTCAGCTAAAAGCTACAGAAATAAGAAGGAAATAATTAATTTAGGGCTCTTCTTATAAATTCTATAACTTTGGAAAGAAAGGTTGTGTAGAGCTGGGGGATGTATCATTTTAATCAGAAATTTGTGCGCTACAATCCCGCATTATTAAGAAAGGCTGGGGTTATTTTTTGGGATTTCTGAAAAACTGGTTTTCCAGAAGATTGGATCTTCGAAGAGCCATGGGCCAGTCCCATGATCATATTCGGAATCAGCATGGTCGATAACCTGTGACCCACTAGATGTCGATCAAAAAGCTTTTAATCACCTCAAAAGGTTCCCTCGTAAGCTGTTCATATAGATCACTAATGAAAAAGCCGAGTTTGAACAGAATGTCAGTGTCTTGTGATCGCAGTGCTTCATTAAGCATTCGATAAAGAACGCACTCTTTCGTATACCACCATATTGCTTGCTCTTTTGTGTATGTTTTCTCAAAGTCATCGATTTGCTTTAGTTTTTGGTCATTGTCTTGGTATTCTCGTCGAAGGTCATCAATCAGCTGTTGTTTGGAAGACTGCTTGTGAGTGAGTCGAGTGAGAATGCTGATGAGTAGCTGTAAATACATGGATGTTGCTTCTTGTTTATTTGATCGCTGACCATCTGTGTTCGATTGCAGAACACTCATTGGAAGAAGGTTATGTGAGCAAATGACAACATCTTTCGTCAGTTGACCACAAATATAATCGATATGAGTGGAGACAGTGCGTATCTTCCCATAATGTTGAGCCCACCTCTCCTGTTCCTTCTCATTGAAGCAAAAGACATAGTCCTAGTGATAGTACTCATACGATGAGTACGACTTTACTCATAATTCGTCCATGAGTACTCATATTGGTACTACTAACAATTTCTGAGTATTGTTACTC